TCTCTACTTACTACTACACACACACACACACACACACACACACACACACACACACACACACAGAGTCTATGACAACTCTCTAATTTCAGCATGTGCATCATACCAGTGAGATGCATGGAATTTATTTAGGGGGGCATTCTGGGCTGGACAGCCAAAGTGTTGGGGGAGAGTGTTGCTCGAGCAATGGTAACTGGAAGCATGCTGCTTGCAGAAAACAGAATGTCATTGCTAGCCTTGGTGGTGGTGGTGGGGTTGTGCTCATGTGTGGTGACTAGCATATCTGTAAAAAGGTTCAGGGTGTGCCAGCCTCAGAACTGAACTCCAAGTGCTAGTGACGGGGTGGGGGTGGGGGCAAGAAGGACCTTAAACACACCTCCAACATGTCTGATCAGACCCCTTTTGGGGTGCTGTATCAGAAACACCCTCCATTTATCAAGAAGTCTCCGGCAGGGGAACACTCGGGGGCAATGGCCTCCTGCATCCTTCCCTCCTCCCACTTCACAACCACCTTGGGAAAGCCAGGGTCTGACGCTTCAGAGAGACCCCAGTTTAAAAACCACAAAACACAGTAAGTGCCATTGCAGTTTACCTTTTCTCGTCATGTCTGTAAGATGTGGAGGTCCGGCCACTGGTCCAAATAAACATCTTAGAGGATTGCCCAGTGGTGCCTTTCCTTACTGTGGAGGTCTTGGAGGGATGACGGAAGGACCTAGAAGGAGAGGGATAGTCTCTGTCAGTATTCATTTGAAACACACCAAACCATGTTGTGTCCATCATGCTAAGTTCCCGGGCCTGGATTCCTACCCACTTGGCAGTGTTCAGTGGGCTCTGGTCCGAGGAGGTGGACCTTCTGATTATTCGAGGCGATATGTAAAGTAACAGAGATGCCCTCTCTGTTCCCTTCCAGGAGCTTTATCTTCTACTTTTTTTTCTCTCTCATTTGTTTTGCTAGCACTGGCTCACATCAGAGATAAGATGTCGTTTCCTTGCCTGTGCTTTACTGCCTGGACAAACGCTTGCTTTGCTGTTGGATCACCCTTGCACACACTCTTGAAAATGAAAACTTCACCTTGGAGTGAACTCCAAGCGTTGGCTAAACAATAGGCTGGAATCTTTTGTTGTTCCCATCACTTTTGCCTGCTCTCCTCCCTGGCCCAAGACCTCTTGATACATTTGTTCGAAGCAGCCATAGATTTTAAATAATTACGTGAGCCCATGGTGTATTCAGAATGCATTGATCTGTCACCAAACTCGTAGTTAAATCTAACTGCAGTTACAGTCCCTCTCCCGGCTGGCATTCTGATTGGCGCTGCTTGAGAGAATCATAGCAACTTGACTAGGTGCTCCATTGATGCATGCAGAATAAATGTTGAGGACAGTTTGTTTTCCTTTTTCTATTGCTCATGTAATGGATTAACTCTTTGATCGCCAGGATTCTTAGCTGGCTCTTAGGCACTAATGTAACAAACATGATTAATAAGATCAGGCGAAGACCATCCACAGGCTGATCTTTCTGGTGAGAGTCTCTGCCAGCATTATACCTTTTCCCCAGCACGTCAACATGATGTATGTTAATTAAGAGGTTATGAATCTGTTACAAGTATCAGGGGGTCGCCGTGTTAGTCTGTATCCACAAAAACAACAAGGAGTCCGGTGGCACCTTAAAGACAAACAGATTTCAGTCCTGCAACCCTAAATCAGTCAAAACTCCCAGTGGGTACTTCGCCTGAGTAAAGACAGAGTTCCAGCACCTGGAGCTATTTATTCTTTTGGAAGTGTATCTGATATCACTACAGGCTTTAAAAGGCTTTATTGTTCCAAACCTGCTTAGCTGATACAGTCATGGTTGTCTTAGAAGCAGAACAAGGACTTTGTTTTTTAAATGGGCTCCAATTAATTTCCTCCTACTGTCCCCTTAATCTACACTCCCTTCAGCAAATGCTCCCACTCTAAGATTTGTGCTTTCGTTCATACCCCCAACCCACTGCCAGCCTGGCACAACCTCCCACTTCATGTCTGCCAAGCAGGCTCTCTGTCCTCCTCCTGCCATAGCTTCTTCCTACTGCCTTCTAATCAGTGATTTCCCTAAACACTCCCAGAGCACAACTGCTGCACAGGGCTTTCTCTTTTCTACAGCAGGGCATGATACCAGTAGCATTTCATTTTCAGAGCTTAAGATTTAAAGAGGGGAGAAATGTAAAGAAGTTTTGATCTAGGGATTTGGTTTGGACTCACTTCTCTCTTTTTTAATTCATCTATACCGAGGTTTGCCAGGATCCAATTTACTTCTTTATCATTTTGATGGATGTTTATTTTTAAGCATTTTTTTTTATCTATTTGAATTTTCACAGTTTCACCAAATTATGGGTTTTATGCATTTAACATTTTTTATTGGTTTAAATTTTCACAGTTGTAGGAAATTGTGGTGGTGGTGGGAGTTAGACAATTATTTAATGACAGTAGATGTTAAGATTTAAAGAGTTAAAGCTTTTTAACAGTTCATAGAATGTCAGGGGTGGAAGGGACCTCAGGAGGTCATCTAGCCCAACCCCCTGCTCAAAGAAGGACCAATGCCCAGACAGATTTTTACCCCAGGTCCCTAAATGGCCCCCTCAAGGATTAAACTCACAACCCTTTGGTTTAGCAGGCCAATGCTCAAACCACTGGGCTATCCCTCCCCCCTGTTATCCCTCTGTTAAAGCACAAATTGTCAACCTCACCTGTCAAAGTATACAAAGTAAATATCCTTTAATCAATCCCTAATAAGTTCTCAAGAAGAATTTTTCTTAATTTGCCTATATTATTTATCAACGGAAATATTTTTTGTCGCTTTGTGTGCATATGGTAAAATTAATGCTTACCAACATTCACGGATAAAAAGCGAATCCTTCCCAGCCTAACTATATCTCAATTGGTTCTGAACGCTCATCCTTACAAACAGGTGACTTAATGATGCTCAGCATCTCACCAGATCGGGCCCTCGATTGTGAAGTCCCTTTGGGCAGAGGCCATATCTCATTCTATGATTTGTAAAGCACTGTGTGCATTTATCGCACTATGGAGCAGGATTCAATAATAAAAATGAAATAGTCTGGATTCTAAGTGCCTTAATGTAGAACCTTTTTGTATCACAGTGGCCATTCCCTAGCTCACTGAGAAATAAACTCGGCTGTTTGTGGTTTCCAGTGAGGGGGCGCATGCATTCCAGAGCGCTGTTTGTGTAAAAAAAAATGCTGTCACGCCACCATCTACAAAGTCTCACAAAGGGCTGATTCATGTATTTGCATAGCTGTGAACTTGGGTGAATGCTTAGAACTAATGGAGATGGATTTGGAGGGGGAAAAACAGTGCTGGATCTGAGCTGAAATTCAGCTTGAAGGGTGAGAGGGCTGGAATCCAAATCTGGATTTGGATCAGAATTTCACAGCTGGACCCCTATCCCTGGAATGGGGCAAACCAAAATTCTGGGTCTTTTCACCCCAAACTTTGCAGAGGAGTGGGAAGGAGGCTTGAAATTTAGAGAGAAGGAGGCCCTTCTCTAAAAACCACCACCGAAACATTCTGCCTATTTAGGCCTTGGGTGACATCATAAAAAGCTACAATATATACCAGTGAGTTGGCCTTTTGGCACTGAGCACCCTCAAAATCACATTGAAATGAATAAAATCCATCTGTTCCTCTGGGGCAGGGACCATCTTTTTGTTCTGTGTTTGTACAGTGCCTGGCACACTAGGATCATGGTCCATCACTGGGGCTCCTTGGCGCTACCAAAAAATAAATAAATAATCTAAGTCTTTGTATCACACTCATGGGTGGACACAGATTAGGCAGGAAGGGGAGCTCTTTGCACCAGCCAAAGAGGAGGGACAGCACTGCTTAAACAAGCAAGGAAGAAGAAAGGAAGCTGTGTTTTCCCAGTCTCCTTACTTTAACCCCTGACGCTTGTCACTGTGGTATCTGAACACCTAAACAGTCTTTTCTTTCCTTTTCACCTGAGCAAAAAACCATAGTCAAGTATTAGGGGAACAATGTATAAGAAAAGGCATTTGTGACTAAAATAACTATGGCTTGGAGGACAAAATAGTAGCTACCAGCATCTAATCGATATGATGACCCAATAAGGAGAATTTTCAAGCAGTCAGCATAGGTGCTGGAACTAGAGGTGCTGGGGGTGCTACCCCACCCCCTGGCTTGAAGTGGTTTCCATTATATACAGGGTTTACAGTTTGGTTCAATGGCTCTCAGCACCCGCACTGTACAAATTGTTCCAGTGCCCCTGGCCATCAGAGTAGAGAATTTGGGATACAGGACTCCTGAGTCCTATTCCTGGCTCTTCTACTAGTGACTCACTGTGCAGCCTTGGGTAAGCCATGGTCTACACTAGAAAATTAGGCCAACATAAATACGTCGCTCAGGGATGTGAAAAATCCACACCCCTCAGTGGTGGTGTTAAGCTGACCTAAGTCCCTGTGTAGACACTGCTAGGCCGATGGAAGAATTCTTCTGTCAATGCAGCTACCGCCTCTCTGGGAGGTGGATTACCTACGCTGATGGGGAACCCCTCTACATTGGTGTAGGTAGTGTCTACACTGACGCACTAAAATGGTGCCGCTGTGCTGCTGTAGCGTTTTAAGTGTGGACAAGCCCTATAACACTCAGGTTGACTAAAATGGCCTCTAACATTGGGGACATCAGCTAGCAAACAGAAAATTGTGGCATCCAGTACCATATTTAGTGTCCACTGTTATAAACTGAGGTCTGGCCCTCTGCGCATCGGTTTACTCAGTCTGTTCATATGAAGCAGTTGTGAGGACTTATTGAAATCTTCAGGAGGAAGGCCTCTAAGGTTCTGTTCACACACAGTCCTATCACTCCTGTTGGTGTCACTTACTGAAAGGTAAACTTACACATGGTGTGTGAACGGCTAAAACTAAAAGTACTGTAATAGGGCAGCTGAGTGACGCAGCTGGACCTACTGGACGCTGTGCTGATATAGCCTAAACCACTGCCATAGTCATTAGGAGACCTGGAGGAGCTTGGTTATCACAGACTTTGCTCTAAACTAAACACAGCTGAGCATACAGTCGAGGTGATACACAGCTCATGCTGCCTGCATTCGTTATACAGTCCTTCTCCGGTAGGATGAACAGTAGCAGCATCACCACAGGTAGCTAGACATCTCCTGACTCACCTAGTCCGAGTGAAGGCTTTGTGATGGCAGCCTTCAAAGTGGAGGGGGGTGGCTGCAATGCACAGAAGGGTGTATGGGAAGGAAGGAGAGGTCTTTTTCTCTGGAAGAGTTTGAAGGATTTCAGAATGTTTCAGAATGCCAGTGCCTTGGAGCTACCCATATGTGATATCATTAATGCTGCCTGCTTCATTAGCTGGGCAATCCAAGCCACCCTTCACTATTTAACAGATAATTACATGCCTAATCTTGTGTAAAATTGTTACAGTAATGACATCACAGCAGCCACTCCAAAGGTCAGATGTAAGTGACTTGGTTCAGTGTTTTCTTTAGCTATAAGGGTCACCTATAAGTTATAATCCTTTCACAGGAACAATGGAGTGTGAAATCTCCAGGATCCTTCTTCTGAAGGCCTTTAGGGGAAAAGAAACATTTCACATGGAGGAATCTGAAACTAAGTTAATATATGCTGGTTCAGTGGTTTGGTTAGACAACACGTTTGTTTCCCTTGCACTAAACGT